CCCCAAAACCCCAAAACCCCAAAACCCCAAAACCCCTATAAATTTAATACATATTGATAAATTCTTGATAATATTAAAAATACATAAACCTAAGAAAAAAGTAATGGGAAGACAGTTACGAGAAGAAAATGCTTACTCAAACATCGAGCTGCATCCAGCTAGTTCAGGCTTTCAAAGAAGCAGAAGTTCTGGGCCTTGCAAGCCAAGCCTGGTAATTGAAACCCAGCAGAAAATGTAAGCACTCTTCCATCTTATCATATATTTACTTATTTTCATAGTGAGAAAACCAAAAAGAGGCTTAACCGTAGTCTCTCTAGAAGGAGAAAGGAACTGGTAGTCCCTACCAACTTCATGATAAAGTACGACCCTCCTAAAATTGGAGTCAAGTATGAAAGCAAGGGTAAACCTGGCAAGTTCAAGGTGAAGAGCATCACCTTAGCGCACTTGAAGAAGCCTGGCGTCGATTCTTCTAGAGTGGTCGATGACCTCTTCAAATGCTATTCAAAATATTTCCACAAGAAACACACTGAAAAGGATGATGTCAAGATCCTTATCGACAAGATCATCGCTTACCACTCTAAGCTTAGAACTCAGAGAGAAAGCAAGGCTAAGTTAAGTGAACTTTCAAGAAACATGGAAGAGAATTCTCCTGCTCGGTAAGTTCATAACCAAGAAACGTTCCTATTTTGACTAGAGTTAGAATAAATTCTATTGGGTTGTATTATACCTTGTATGGACGATTAGAGTTAAGAGGCATATAATTTTGACAAAAAAGTTTGCACTCCGAAAGACCTATTTAAATTAGGTTTGATAAACTTTGCTCACACTATTTCACCAGAAAATGAATTGTTCAAAATTTCTTTTGATTCATTCATCTCTTACTTTATCAGAAGGAAATTTATTTTGGTTTAGCATTGAAAAATCAGACTTCAACTCGAACAAGTACATCAAGAGTAAGAGGAACATGTCCTGCTTCAAGACTGAAGGTAAGATAGGACTCTCTGATTCAATAGATAAGCTCAGGAAATCAATTAGACTCAATATTTGACAAAAAGAGAGCAAGGAAATTAACTGATTCCTTCACCGACTCTAGTATTTATTTTTATTTATAATCAATAGAAGAGGAGGATGTGAAAGCTGACTCGGTGAATCCCACCAGGGCCAAAATGACCAGCAAAGAGATTGCTCTCATTAAAGGAAAGATGTACCGTGAGTTGTCATTCTTTAATCACAAGACTCATCGTCAGAGCTCTCAGATTCCTTCAACCGTTGACAACTCTTCAACATCAACGGAAAGCGAGAATGTGTCCAACTTCAAGACCTTCAGAAAAGAAGAAGACCTTAGTTCGAAATTGAAAAATTTTGGAAATGAGTCTATCCAGAAGGCTAATTTATACAAATCTTTCAGTTGCGAGAAGGTAAAGTCTAGGAAGGTCCAACTAAAGAAGGAGCAGATCATTTTCAAGCCAGATTTTCCTTCACCTGTTGACTCCAACAGGCTTTAATAATTTTAGATAATTCATTAGGAACATATGAAGAAGGGGTTTTGGGGTTTTGGGGTTTTGGGGTTTTGGGG